ATTGCAACATTATTTTCTTCTTTGTATGAGGTGAAGATTTTCTAACGAATCTTTTATAGACTATATGAAATATTGTTTTGATGAATCTAGGCAGTAAACACACTTTTGGATTGTTGGAACCTGAAATTCAAAAGTTCCAAAATAGTTCATCGATTTCGTCGGTGTGGGTTCCGAAAGTACTCCAAAGAGCCAATCCGTCGTCGGGTAATCGAGATCTTACATGATTAATAGAACTAAACTACGATAATCTTAGGAAAGCAAGTAAAATAGATTGCAAAAAGCAGTAACTTGAATTAAATTTGATAAACAAAACTAGAACATGAAAGAAAAATAGAAAAATTGACGATTTGATCATGTTGTGCGTGTGTGTGATGTGTTTTTTCCTAATCTTAATCCTACGCTAGCATAACCACCTCTTCCATAGAAAGGGGCAGTTCCCATTATTCGTCTACCTCTCTCAACCGCCAGGTAACTTCCTTCCATCAGCTTCCAACTGTTTCCATCATCTCTGGACCGGGTTCCATTCACTTTCAACATCTTCCGTTGTTTCTGGACCGGGTTCCATTCGCTCTAAATTTCTTTCATTGCCCCTGGATTAGACCTACAACTTACCATGGTTTGCTTCCATCATACTCCTAGCTGGTCTATGGGGATATGTCCCCAACAGCCTGTAGTTACACGGAATCCTTCTTCTTCTTTATTTGGTTTTAACCCACAGAACCTTCTATATAGGGCATGTAGGTGCCGAGGTCTTCCATTAATGTTACGAAGTTGCCAACCCAGGGTCGATGGAGCTTGTTGTCCAAAGGCTTGTGGAAGTTATACCCTCTTGCTCCGTGGAAGCTCCGCAGTCTGATAGAAGTCATTACCTTCAGCTTTGAGTCATTTGGACTTGGGGTCCAACAATTGCGCTCCTCAAAAAAGGGATAAAATGCGAACCGTGTAGAGCTTTACTCTTTTATGGAATTTCCTTCGTATGGAGCTCACACCCATGGGCCTTACTAGAAAATTCAACCCATTTTGATTTATCGCATAAAGCCTTTCAACCTTGATGTGACGACTACACTCTTCGATTCCCGCGTCCCTTGAAAGAAAAGACACTTAAGGGCTTTTTGGGGGTTTATCTCAGCACTTCTCCTTTCCACTCTCTTCCCCCTCGTTTTTCTCTCATTTTCCTTTGAATTTTCCGTTCTGGTTGGTGAGTGCAGGTGTCGATTCGTATGGTTTCTCCGATAGCTTATCCTTTCGGTGGTGTGGAAGAGCCCTTGCCAACGGCGGAAGTCCTAGGTCCGATCCGCTATTCGATGCTGGCTGAGGGACCTTTGCGACTGTCCATTGATGGTGATTCGTTGACGTTAAAGCCGTCGGCCGAGATGGATCTCCAAAGAGAGGGACTCCAGTAAATCATCGCCAGTGATGGGGTATCTCCCCTGTTAATCGCGAAACCTTTTTATTCGTTGGCTCTTCAACAAGGTAGGGTTTTAACCCGATATCCCGACAGCGCGACCTTCAAGGAATGGACGGCGACCCTCGGTGGCTCAGTCGACACTCATTGGGAAGCTTCGGGGATTGATGACATGATTACAGTCAGCACACAGGTTTCTCATCCCAACTCCGATCTTCTTTTCGTACTCCTAGGGTTTTAGTGTCCAGCGGTGAATGGATTTTGCTGTCGATTTTGGTATAGACTATTCAAAGTCTAGTTCGAGCACCTTACTATACGAGAAGTATGGGGCGCCGAACTCAAAAGCCAGTTTGCTAGATGACCATAGGACTTTTTAATGCTCTGGGTGAATCGCTTCTTTATATGCGCAGCTGGTAGGAATTTTGTTAGGGAATACGAACCCTTAGTATTGTCGATGATGGAGGGTGACTATTTGGCGCTTGCTCATTTCTTCTTAGGACATTTGTATAGAACCCTTAACGATCTTCATACCCGCCTAGGTCATGAGGAGCGTGTATCCACCCAGAGGGGACCTTTGTGGTTTCTTCAACTCTGGGCTGCTTATATGTTTCCCGAGCTGTTTGACATACCGTGGCCGTTCCAAATTCCGAACGAGGAACATATCGGTGTGTTTTTAGCTGAGTTTGAGTGCTCCCATAACGCATTTCAAATCGCTAACTTCTTGTCATCGAGTAACTGTGAGGACACACGATTTTTCCCTTTGTCGGAGCGATCTCATGGGCCTGATTGGTTTTCTAAAGCCCCGCCAGTAAAGGAGGATGGTTCCCCTGACTGGTCTTCCATCACTTCATCATAGAACAAATTTTTAACCGCAAGGCTCTTATTGTTGGGTTTAAAGCCTATGTCTCGTTCTTTACCAGTTGGAGTGGAGGGATACTTCCCACAGTTGTATGCTTTCCAGTTCGGACTCCAACAGGCGATTCCGATGTACGGCTTCCATTGTCAGGGGCCCTTTCCTCCAGTGGAAAAGAACCTCCGAAGATCTTGATATGTATCGGGGCTTGAATGCAGCCATTGAGGATTCACCCCTTCCTGTCTTCGAAACCAGGCCCTCCACCGATTCGGCGTTTGCAGGTTGGTGGGAATTCTTAAAGGATGTCCTTTTTGCTAAACCTCCGGCTTCATGGCTACGCCGTTTCATTGATACCGATTCCGACCACCAGAGTGAAACAGCTGATATTGCCACTGAGGAGGTTGAAAATGCGGCTCTTGAGATCATAGAAGGTAAACTTTCATCTTCTCCTTGAGTTTTTCTTACTAAAAATATTCACCTGACTCTGTTTGTGTTCGCAGTGATGGATTCCTTCCCGGTACGTAGATCAACTCGGCATGCTAAGGCCAAAGCTGCTGCCCCTAAACCTTCTGAGAAGCGCCGTGCAATTATCTCTCCAACACCCAGGTTCATACTCATCTCCATGTACTTCTTCCACGAATACTTCATAATTTTCTCATTCGTATGTATCATTGTATCCAGCCTACTAAGAAAATGCACAAAGGTGTTGATGCAACCCCGACGACAAGGACTACAGCTCACACTATGGTGAATCCTTATTCGAAGGTTCATCCACCTAAAGCTTCGCTATCCAAGGTATTTCCATCACCCAAACTGCATTCCTCTTCACATTCCCATTAGAATGTTAATTGTGAACATCTTTTACCAGCATGTACCTTCGAGGACGTCAGGGACTCCTCTTCCGCTTCCAAACCACACTCCTGCCCCACCTCGTGCAGATTGTGCTACTTCCGACTTGAATATCAGTCCGGAGCGTATTCGGGACTATTTCATTGGGCATCGGGATGAAACATCTACTTTGGCACTTTCGAGTCAATTCCCCAAGGGTGTGGATAAACAATTCATCACCATCTGCTTGGAAGCGTCCCCGGGAGATCCTGAAACCTTGAGTTCCATCCAGTTGGCTTTGCTAAATTTAGCGGAATCCCCTTCCTACGCAAACCTTCCTGAGTCTACTCGCATGCAATGGATCAGCTTATCTTCCAAAGTAAACGCCTTCGCTCAACGCCGCGGGATGGAAGAAGAGAACTGGGACTTCGGAAGGATGCACTTGGATCAGTTGGGAACATTAAGGAAATAGAAGCAGTCTTTGCAGGATGAATATTCGCACACTGAGGATGAAGCTTTCAGTGCTTCAAATCAGCTTGAAGCTTCTCGCACTGAGCAATTAGAAAAGCAAGCCGAAGTGGCTCATCTCCAAGCTTGGCTCACCTAATTAAGTCCTAAAATTTCGGAGTTAGAACGGCTATTGGCAGAGAAACGCCGAATGTAGGTTGATTTATATCGGAGGTCCCAGCGCCTAGATGCCCCCTAGCCGCTTTGTCGCAGAAGAAAGTTCTGTATGAGTTCAATGCCACCAACGGGGAGGCGACCTTGAAGGAACTAAAGTCGGAATAGGGGACCCTGGCCTCTTTGTAGGCAGTCTGCATGCCTTCAGCGAACGTTATCTCTTCACCATCTCAAGACCCTGACAATGAACGTGCGCGGGATGCACCACCTTCTGTCCCGGTGGCAGACACTCCGATGGTTTCCAAATCTGAACTTCCACTTCAGACCGTTTCCGACGTCCAAGCATCTATTGCTCATGTTGTAAGAGACTTGATGTTAGCGTTAGAAGTGGCAGCAGACCACAGCATTTCTGACCCGCCTTCAACTTCGAAAATTCCGATCTCTGATGGGGCAGCATCGGTCCCAGAGGGCTCAGCTCTCGCGGGTGTAGTTTCAAGCTCATGCGGGAAGGCCTTACCCTCAGAAGGCCTAACTTCTACAGATGTAGTTCCAGTCATTGGTGGAGTAGTCCCGATTCCGGAAATTTCAACTCCAATGAAAGCGGCGCTAGTTTCTAATAGAACAGCTCCAGCTCTGGAAGATCCGATTGCGACTCCGTTAGATTCAGTCCCCGTGGAAGCAGTGTCAGGTCCTGATGGAACGGCTTCGGCTCCAAAAAATCTGATTTCAACTCCAACGGATCCAGTTCCTATGGAAGCAACGCCAAGCCCTGATGGAACCGCTCCGTCTCTGGAGGATCCGATCCCAACTCCATTGGATCCAATTCCCATGGAAGCAGCGCCAGGTCCTGATGGAACGACTCCATCTCTGGAAGAGCCGATCCCGACTCCGGCGGATCCAGTTCCCATGGAAACAGCGCCATGTGCTGGTAGCTCCGAGCCAAATGTGGACCCAGATGCAAAGGATACTCCTACCACCGTACCTTAACTTTTGGAACCATTCATCTTTCTCCATGCTATCCTCAGTTTCATCTGGATTTTATGATTTCCTACTTATTTAGCTACTTAAGATAACTCACTTCCATTTCATTTCAGTTTGCACATTAGCGGCTTAATAGTCTGCTTTCATTTTGCACATTAGCGGCTTAATAGCCTACTTTCATTTTGCTTTGTATCTAGCGGCCTAAACAAGGCCTGCTTTCACTTGTCCATTTCATTTCTTTATCTGAACTCAAGTGGCGACATGTATCCCTTAAGGTGCTTAGCATTGATGACATTTCTATGTTCCATTCCATCAATATTCATCAATCTATAGGCACCATTAGCCAACACTTTACTCACTTGATATGGACCTTCCCACGTAGGAGACCATTTCTCAAACGTATTATTTTTGCATCATTCGGATAACACTGTCTTCCATACCAAATCTCCTTCTTGGAATGCTCGCTGACGTACCTTTTTGTTGTAAGCTCGTGCTACTTTCACTTTATTCGCTCTGATATTCTCCAACGCCATCATCCGATCCTCATGTACATCTTCCAGCCTCTGTACATAGTTGTATCGTACTGCTCGGGACTGAATGAATTCTACTTCAACACTCGTAACGATGGCACCATGATTTCCAATGGCAATATCATTTTTTGCCCATAGACCAGTTGGAATGGAGTGCAACCAGTAGCTTTATTTCGGTATTGCCCACAACCCCATAAAAACTCCACTAACACTTCGTGTCATCTTCTCGGGTTATCTTCCACGGCCTTTTTAATTCCCCAATTAAGACCTTGTTGGCTGCTTCAGCCTGCCCATTCACTTGTGCGTAATATGGGGATGAATGCAAAAGAGCAATCCCGTATTGTGCAGCGAAGGCGGCAACTCTATCGCTGTAAAAACAGTACCTTGATCGGAGGTAATCGTCTGTGGGATTCTATACCAGTGAATAATGTGTTCCTTAAGGAACTTGATCACTTCTTGATATGTTACGTTGGCCAATGGTACAACTTCTATCCACTTTGTAAAATAATCCGTGGCCACCAATATGAACGAGTGTCTCTTAGAGGATAGCAGATGGATCTTTCCGATGATATCCATCACCCATCCCCAGAATGGCCATGGTTTCACGACCGCATGCATTTCTTCCACTGAAATTCGGATCAAAGGACCATGTTGCTGACACGCTTCACATCCTTGAGCATATTTGATGAAGTCTTCTGTCATTAATGGCCAAAAATACCCATATCGTCGGATCATCCATCTCATGACTAACCCGGATCTGTGTGCTCCGCAAACCCCTTCATGCACTTCACCCATCACCTTCATGGCTTCTTGAGTATCTACGCATTTCAATAGCATTCCATCGGCGGCTCTGCGAAAAAAAATCTCCATAAATCAAAGTATATTTTAGAGCTTATTTCCGTAACTTTTCAGGAATATCACCGGTTGGTTGTTTCAAATACTTTCTTAGCTCCATACGCCAATCCCCCACTTTCACTGGGCACAGACATACTCGCCTTGACTTGAAATTTCCTATGGCGGATGACTTATACCCAGAGGCTTCTTGAGCTAAATCATTAGCTACTTCGTTTTCAGCTCGAGGTATGAATTCCACAATTGCGTTGTCAAAATTCTGCAACATAGTAACTGCCTCAATTCGAAGGCTTCTCAAAATTTCATCTTTGCATTGGAACTCACCGGTAATTTGCTTCAGAATCAATTGTGAATCGCCTTGAACTCTGATCGCCTTAGCTCCTTTTTTAAGGAGAATCCTCAGTCCAACTAATAAGGCTTCATACTCTGCTTGATTATTAGTAAATCCAAGGGCCAATGGTCTAGCAACGGTCCACTTTTTTCCCCATGGGCTCTCGATAAAGACCCTAGCTCCAACATTGGTCTGCATGCTAGAACCATCAAACTTCAAGATCCATGGTATCGGACTAATAACAGCTTCCATACGATCATCCGCTTGGTCAGATACCGAGCTCGGATGATCTGCCAAAAAATTAGCAACGATCTGCCCTTTAACAGCTTTAATTGGCACATATCGTAGATCAAATACGGCCAGTTTTACAGCTCATTTCGCTTGCCTCCCTCTTAAAGCTGGCCTGCTTAATAAATATCTCAAAATATCGACATGACACACCACTTTTGTCTCCCTCGGGGCCAAATAATATTCAAGTTTCGTGCAAGCGTAAAATAAGGCGAAACATAATTTTTTCATAAGAGTGTACCTTGTCTCCGCATCATTCATTACCTTACTAAGGTAAAAAAATGGCACGCTCGCTTCTATCGGGAGCCTCCTGCGCCAGTAAGCAATCAACCGTATTCTCAGTGGCCGAAACATATAAGCAATCGGGAGCTTCCACACAAATTCCTCTGTTTTTTGCAATTTGAGTAATGTAGAAAAAGCTTTAAACTTGCCTGCAACATTCGAAACAAATCTTCGCAAAAAGTTCACTTGTCCAAGGAATCCTTGGAGCTGTTTCAGATTCTCAGGCGCTCGGGCATTGATGATAGCTTTCGTTTTGTTACTATCCATCTCGATACCCTTATTATGCACCATGAATCCCAAAAGGTTTCTGGAGACCACTCTGAATGCGCACTTCGCTGGATTCATCTTCAAATGATAGTTCCAAAAAAACTCTTGGATTTCACCACTATGTCATCGATGTAAACTTCCACCGACTGTCCAATTAAATCGTGAAATATGGTATCATTGCTCGCTGGTAAGTCGCTCCAACATTCTTCAACCCAAACGGCATCACCACCCATTCATATACTCAAAGGGCCCTTGGGCATCGGAATTCTGCTTTTGCAACATCCTCATCGACTATGAAAACCTGGTTATAGCCGGAATACCCATCCATACACAACATACTCCTATTCATGGCGGCTGTGTCCACTAATATATCGGCGATAGGCATAACGTATTCATCTTTGGGTGTTGCCAAATTCAGATTGCGGTAATCGACGCATAGCCGCAATTTTCCATTTTTCTTAAGTGCAGGAACAACATTGGCCACCCATTTCGGATATCGAAAAGTCCGGATGAATCCTGCCCCCAAGAGCCACTGAATTTCTTCCTTGATCTTTGGGTACACATTTGGATTAAACCTTCGTGTTGGCTGCTTGTGGGGTTTATATCCGACTTTTATGGGCAATTGATGTTCCACGAGCTCTCAAGCCAAGCCTAGCATTTCATCAAAATCCCAAGAAAAACAATCCCGGTATTCTTTATAAGTGTTACCAAGGCGGCCCGATCTTCCGATGTTAACAATGCACTAACCTTGTTGATTCGTGAAATTCCATCGGTACTCAAATCAACATCCTCCAGCAGGTCTTGAGCCTGGAATGCTGGATATTTTTTGTGCACAAGTGATGGTAATTCTACTTCACCGGCGATTTCCCTGGATGATTCCGAACTGCCAATGCAATTTCCTCTAAGCAATTCTGAACCCTCTACGGGGTCTGCTCTAGCCGGCTCTGGATGTTGCGTAACAGAGCCTATTTCCGACGGCTCAAGGTTTTCCGAGGAGCCAGCTCTGGATGGCGGCTCCGAACTCACAATAGAGCCCGTTCTGAGTAGCTCACTACTTTCTATGAAACCTGCTCTGAACGGCTCTAAACTCGCAATGGAGCCTGCTCTGGACGGCTCACATTGAATTTCGTCACATTCAAAATTCATCATAATCTTCTTCATTCATAGGTCGTGCATCGGCTCTCGGTTGAACCCTGAACTGCTTATCACTAAATACACATTCATAATTTCCTTCGTTAGGAATGGAGGCGATCACTTCTGACAGTGGAATCATCTTTGAATAGTAGAAACTCGCATCTACAGTTGTGACCTCCGTTGCGAATGGATCTTTCTCTGCTTCTACTTCTTGAACCTTGGCACCATCCCAAAACAGCAACTTCTAGTGTAAAGTCGACGGGATACACTCACAAGCGTGAATCCAATCCCGCCCCAACAATGCTGCGTATGACGGGCGACTGTCTATTATCACAAACACTGAGGGCAGCTTTTTTGTGCCAACTTGCACCTCAACAGTAGCAATTCCCGCCGGCTTGTACAAATTTCCCATAAAATCTGTGGCTCGTACTAAGGTTGGTATTAAATCATCCCTCGTCTTTCCTAATTTTCTAAATGTACGTAACGACATCACGTTAGCAAATACGCTGCCATCTATCAGTACTCTACCCACAGGTCGTCCTTCCATCAAAGCTCAAATGTACAAGGGCTTCATATGTTTATTCTGCCCGGACCCAATTTGATGAAATATGACCGTTGTCACTACATCATTCCATTCCGTAGCTGGTTCTTCATCTACGATCACTCCCTCGTAATTCTGCTCCCCTTCTGGAGCTTTGAACTCAGCCGGTAACAACCCAACGACCGATAATTGGCCAACTTTAGCATCAAGCTCCTTCGGCTGTGTAATTTCGGCACCCATCGGCGTTGCCAATTTGGAGCGGGTCCGGCGCTCGGCATAGAAAAAATCAAGCGATGTTGCAACTCTTAATTTTTCCGAGGTCTTTCCTTCTGTTCCTCAACTTTAAGGGTTTCTTGTCCTGATTCATTGTTTTATGAACCTCTTATTCAATTTTCTTATCCGTTGCCCCCGCACTATTCTGATTTAGCTAAATACCTTTAACTCCCATCCTAGCCTGTAATCGTTTCCTTTGTGCCCTTCTTTTATGGGAATGCATGAGGTCACCCATTGCCCTCCTGGAATTTGCCTCTGGCACATTGACTGTCCACTTCTCCGAATCTACTGCTGATGGAGGCTTCCCCGTCATTTTTGGAGTAATTGTAATCTGATCGGTGGATGTAATAGTCCAAACTCGCTTTCTGCTAGCGACTTTCACCTCAGCCACAGTGGCATCCGGCTTGATATTTGAGCCTGGAGTTTTGTCTTTAGTCATCACGTTATCGCGTTCCTGAACTTCCCTGGCATTTGGAATCATCACTTTCAAATTAGGGATCCGCTCTACGACTCTAGGTTTCTTACCTCCACCATTTCCATTAGGCTTTTTTCCTACAGACAGCTATCAAAGATTGAACCTCGTTGTGGTATCCTAGGTCCGAGTCATTCATGAACCGGTTTCCGAACCGGTTGTTTCCCTTTGTGTTGTCTCTTAGGACCTTTTGTGGACATGGTGTTAATGGACGGAGCGGGAAACGGATTTACGTCCACTTGCAAACTCTTTTCTGCTAACTTCAATTTGCCTCATCTAAGGCCTTCTGGATTGTATTTCGTAAGTACGTAAAATTGGTGGTAGCATGTGTATAGCTCCCATGCCACTTGCAGTACACTTTTCCTTTCAGTTCTTCTTGTGACGGCATTCGCTGCCCATTCCGGAGTTTTATTTTCTTATCCTTCAACAGATGATCAAATATCTGTTTGACTTTAGACACATCGAAGATATATTTCACACCTCCGATCTCCTTACCCTTTGTAGGCTTTAATGCCGAACAAGAATAAGTTTTTCCCATCAACAACTCAGTGGCCAACACATCTTGTTTCTCACAACAATCCTCATCGGCTTTTCCATCTTTCTTCCACCTTCCAACTGCAGCATCCCGTCTCTCTCGGATGAGCTTTTCTGCTCTCATTGTCAGTGCACTTAAATGTGAAAAATCCTAGAAATCTTAGACTCCTAACCGATCTCGAAGATTTGATCGCATGTTATCTACTGTCATCGCAGTTGCTTGTTGTTCAGGAATTTGCATTGTGCACCATGTCTTAGTTTGTCGAAATCTTTCCAAAAACTGTGCCACTGGCTCATCATACCCCTGTTTTACAGCTACCAGATGGGATATTGTAGTCTCCACCAGTGGCGCATAAAAATGGTCATGGAAAAGCCTATCCAAATCTGACCAAGACTGCACAGTACCTGGAGCCAATGACGTATACCACGAAAATGCAGTACCCATTAGAGATAAAGAAAATAATTGAACGATACCAGTCATTTCCTCATAAGTCTCCGCACTAAGCTGTAAATTTTCCAATATGCTCTATCGTTGACCTCCCATCTTTGCCTGAGAACAATGTAAAATCTGGCGTTTTATTTCGAACAGGCAACGACATCATCTCACTTGCGCCAGTTGGATAAGGTCTTTGATACACCGGTCGCTCTTCAAATTTCATTCGTAGGAAAGCCCTTCATATACTTTCTACTAGAATATCTGTATCTATCAATGGCCTGGCATCCTGCTGATTAGGAATCAACGGCTGCCCTCCTGGTCCCCAAGGTTGGCCAGTCATTCCTTCCTGAGGGACAGCGGCATATGGGGTCTGTTGAACCCACGGCTGTGGAGGTGCGTTCCAGGTAGGATGATCTGTGAACTGCCCCGGCAATGTTGTCCCTGGATGGGCTCCGTAAACACCGCTTCCTGCGACATCCGATCCTTCTACCATCTGAGGGCCAAAGCCTCCACTGCTCTGGCCTCCTTGCGGGCGTGGGAGAATCATTACATTGTCAAACTGCAATCCTGCTCCACTCGTCGGCCCCCATGGGCGATCCAACGTTTCCACGACCTAAGCTGGAACCGACAGTCCCTGGAAGGGATGGAATCCCTCCACCAGATGGAGCTATTCCTCTCGGACCTCTATATGTATTTCCTGAAATTCTAGAATTCTGAAACGCTTCATTCCTCACAGTTGGCCGGATCACGTCAGCCAATTGCCTAGTGATTTCGTATATCCCCAATTCCAGCCTGAATACATTGATTTACTTCTCTGCGTACCATATCTACCATCGTTTTAGTCGATGATGATTCTTCTTCTCTCTTTAGCCCTGGGGTGCGGCTTCCACTGGGGTGAACTGATGCTCCAATTCCAGCGTTTCCTGCACCGATATTCAGACATGCACTCTGATTCTGATTTTCCATGCTGATCACCTTACCACTACGAAGTTATATACACGAACCCGACTTGGTCCCACCAGGTGTGCCAATTTTTGGAACCTGAAATTTGTAAGTTCCAAAATAGTTCGTCGATTTCGTCGGTATGGGTTCCGAAAGTACTCCAAAGAGCCAATCCGTCGTCGGGTAATCGAGATCTTACGTAATTAATCAAACTAAACTACGATAATCTATGGAAAGCAATTAAAATAAATTGCAAAAAGCAGTAACTTGAATTAAATTGCATAAACAAAACTAGAACATGAAAGAAAAATAGAAAAATAGACGATTTGATCTTGTTGTGCGTGTGTGTGATGTGTTTTTTCCTAATCTTAATCCTACGCCAGCTGATAACTCTTGATTTTGTCATATTTTATAGCTTATATTTATTTAATTAATTATTCATTTATGTCGAATTTGGTATTATTTATGTTAATTTACTCTAATAATTGTATTTATTTCATCTTGTTTGTATAATATTAATTTATTAGTTTTAAGTGTAATTTATAATTATTTTGGTTTATAAATTAAATTAATTGATGTGTTCCTTAAATGATATTTGTAGGCATTATTCATGTGCTATTTAAGTATTTAGTTTTGGCTAAATTAATTTTATTTAATAAGTATTATCTATTTAAATAAATATTTATAAGGTATTTATTATTTATATAGGTGAAATAATACTTGAAAACTGATATGGGAATCCAAAACTGGCCTTAAAAAGCAAAAAACTGGGTTTAGAAGCGAAAAAAAAGTCACCGGTGCAAAAATCAACAAAAATCAGCGGTCAATGCAGAAAAGTCAACGCGCGAAAGTCAAAGTCAACCGCTGCACGGAAACAAGCGACGGCTGACACGGAAGGCAAGCGACGGCTGCATAGGAGTGCGCGAGCGCGGAAGGCAAGCGAACACGGAAGGCAACCGACGGCTGCATAGGAGTGCGCGAGCGCGGAACGCAAGCGAGCGCAGTAGGCGAGCGGCGGGTGTATTTATGAGCACGGAAACAAGCGACGGCTGCATAGGAGTGCGCGAGCGCGGAAGGCAAGCGACGGCTGCATAGGAGTGCGCGAGTGCAGAAGACGAGCGGTGGCTGTATTTATGAGCACGGAAGGCAAGCGGCGGCTGACACGGAAATGTGAGCGGAGCGGAAGACTATGCGTGGAAGTGAGCGAAGCGGCGGCTGGTGCGGAATTTGAGCGGCGGCTGGCGCGGACTCCATAAGCGGCGGTTGCATTAATTCTCGTTGCATTTATTGTCGCTGGTCAGCGGTGCATTTACTGCGCCGCCACAATAATTTCCTGCACAGAATTCCTCTGCATTTATGTCTCCTGCACCCTCAGCTCCTGCATTTACTACACTCTCCCAACTCCCTTAATTAAATTCCTGCACTACTTTTTAGCCAATTTTTGGCTATTTTGTGTACTTTTTTTATTCTAGAACCTTCTAGAAAATAGGTAGTTATTAGTAGTTATATTAGTAGTTATATTAGTAGTTATTTTTAAAGTTAGTTATTTATGGTTATTTTTAGAGGTAGTTAGTAATTATTTTTAGAAGTAATTATTTATTGGCGGTTGTAACCGCCAAGCTTCTAGAAGCTTTTCCCCTATAAATATCTCCTCTAATTGTACCATATATATATACACCATACATATACATATACACACCATATATACACAATAATACAAATTTCATACACTTCATTTTCTCAATTTCTTTTCTCTCATATTTTTATCTAGTTTAATAATACGGGATTTTCGATTTTGTGTCGCGAGCAAACCGATTTTCTCCCCCTTTTTCTTTTAATTCCTGCATATTATTTTAGCTAGTAAAATTCCTATCATATTTCCCCACCTCACCTTCACCCAAAAATTCCATATTCGATTTGAATTGTTCAAGTTGGATTTCGACAAGGTTGCGAAAGGGCGATAGAAGAATCAACTATTTCAGCCCTGTTTCGTGCCAAAAGCAGATTCTGGGTAGTTCAACGTAGCTAAGTACACGGGAGCCTTGTCGACCTGCTTAGTTGTTGTTCTGAATTCGATTCCGATCAAAGAGAGGTATCAGAGGGGTAGAGCCACTAGCGGAACGGTTGGAAGAATAATTCATGGGGCATAGACGGTGGTCTATTGGGTCACAGAAATCTCTAGTGACAGTAGAGTTTCTTGCTTATAATGTTCTTCGCCGGGTGTCGCTGAAGCCTCATTGTAAATCCGCTAAGGTCGAGTACCAACTGAGTCGATAATCAGCTTAAGCGAGCAAATGCGATCACGTTCATTCCTCCGAACCGCCCCGCAATTATACATATATTTTTCGCTATCACGCCATCGTCATCCCGCTCATTTCATCCATGGAAATCTAGCCATTAAGGAACGCAAAGGTCAGACACAAACGCCTCGCTTCATCCTTTTCGAGATACATATATTTTATCGCTTTTAAATTAGATTTAATTTTTGCAATTTATTTTTTCAGTTTCTTCGATTGCATTAACTCATTGCACTTTTTCTAATTAAATATAGGATATTCGCATATTCCCTTAGTTCGACCCGGACACTCACCGGTTAAAGAGATTTTTATTTTTGACGAAAAATTTTGGAGTTACTATACGAACACGCATGACACTATTTTCATTTTATACATATATATATTTTTTTATTTTAAAAGATATTTTAAAAACTCTCTGAAATTCTTCGATCAAATTTTGGCGCCGTTGCAGGGGAATAAGCCTAGTATCTTTGTTGTAATTGGAAAATATTGAGTTAATGCTAATTTAATTTTAATATTGAATTTTATTTTATTTTGAACATTTAATCCATCGGCGGTATGCTTGGTAGGTTTCGAGAGTGCGATATCCTTCGAGGATCAAACATGCACGACATTTATCTTTCAAAAAAAAAATCTGCAGCAGCGCCTAGGCCTTTGCCGCTTCCCTGTGTTATTTCTTTTCTATATATAATAATAATAAATAAATAATATTAGTAATAATAATAATAACTGCATAAATAAATAATAATAATAATAATAATTTTTGTTGTTCATTCATGAAATTAAAGATGCTCCGCTCGTCGGTTCATAGTGAATTTTGAAGTAGAAGAAGCGGACATCTATCCTTGTGAACCAATGGATGAATCGCTTACAAGAGATGAACCCACTGCCCGCGGACATCTATCCTACGCTAGCATAACCACCTCTTCCAAGAAATGGGCAATTCCCATCATTCATCCACCTCTCTCAACCGCGAGGTAACTTCCTTCCATCAGCTCCCAACTGCTTTCATCATCTCTGGACTGGGTTCCATTCGCTTTGAACATCTTCCGTTGTTTCTAGACCGGGTTCCATTCGCTCTAAATTTCTTTCATTGCCCCTGGATTAGACCTGCAACTTACCCAGGCTTGCTTCCATCGTACTCCTAGCCGGTCTACGGGGACATGTCCCCAACAGCCTTGAGTTACATTAATCCTCCTTTTTATTTCTTTGGTTTTAACCAATAGAACCTTCCAGACATGGCATATAGGTGCCGGGGTCTTCCATTAATGTTACGAAGTTTTCAACCCAGGTTGATGGAGCTTGTTGTCCAAAGACTTGTGAAAGTTATACCTTTTTGCTCCGTGGAAGCTCCACAGATGGAAGTCGTTACCTTCGGCTTTAAGTCATTTGGATTTGGAGTCCAACATGAGCATAGTAAAAAATTGAAAAAAAAAAATAGTCTGACTATATATCATAATTATTAATTTTAATTTTATTAATTTTTTTTATTAATTTGTCTCCCAATAGTCAAATGCTTTGTGCTAAAACCAATATGACTATATTTATTACTGTGTTTTTCTGCATATTATCATTAAATTAAAATTGAAAATTTTTAATTTAAATGAAATCAAAATTAATAAAAAGTAAAATAAAATTCAATAGTATCAAAATTAATAATTATAATATGTAATGAAATCAAAAACAATTTTTTTTTTGCTACAAAAAAATAAATTAAAAAGCACACCCTTTTGAGTTGACGGCCAGGTTGTAAAGTGGAATAGCAATAGCAATTGCAATTGCTATGTATTTGTATTACTATATAAATGAAGGTTTGATTGTGGGCTTCAGCGAAGAGCAGCCGCAGCCGCAGCCGCAGCCGCAGCCGCCGCAACTCCTTTCTCATTATACAACAACGGCGACGAAAAGCTAGAAACAACAAACACAGGTTTTGTTTTGTTATTCGCTAGTGCAGACTTAAGTTTGGATTTGGGTTGGCCACGCACTTACATTCCCTATCGAACCGAATCCAATCGAATCAATCAAATACGAACTTACACTTTGTTTGCTTCATTGCCCTTCCCGCCTTCCTTCTGATCTTACCTCTGGCCTTTGGAGGTACAGGGTCAGGACAGGGAGGAACAACTCAATAGGAGGCGACATAGGCATTCGAACAAATCTCACATCTGTAATCGTCATCTTGACATCCATCCATGGCAGCCGCCGCATTCCATTTACGTGGACTCACCAGTTCATATATGTCTAGCTCCAAGAAAGTTCCGTGCTTTAGACACAATCTTCATCAACTCCCATTTCCCTCTCCCCTTCCCCTTCATTCTATTTCTCCATCCCTCAAAACCAGTTTTGCGACTGCCAGTGCCAAGGCCGGCGTGCTTGAAAAGCACGATGCCCAATGTCATGCTCCTGAACAAATTGGCAAGGATTTGACATGCGTTATGAAGTTTGGCGGTTCATCTGTTGCGTCCGCAGATAGAATGAAACAAGTAGCTGATCTTATTCTCAGCTTTCCAGACGAGAAGCCAGTCGTTGTGCTTTCTGCTATGGGGAAAACAACCAACAAACTCTTGTTGGTACTTCTTTTGATGGATTTTTCGTCTCGCTTACATTATTTATTCTGATCATATAACAGTTCAGTTCCCTTGACAATATTTGGACTTGCCTGTTCCAGGCTGGAGAGAAGGCAGTTTGTTGCGGTGTTTCAGGTGTGCCCGATCTTGAAGAATTGACCTTCATCAAAGATTTGCATGTCAGGTAATTCCAATACCCATTCCTCTTCTTCTCCTTTTTCGTGGAAGATAGAATTTTGAATGATCTCTGTTTTGCTGCTGTATCAGGACTGCCGACACTCTTGGAGTGGAAAGGTCTGTCATTTCAAGTAAGTTATCTTCTGACTATGTTCATAATCTGCTCTATCACATCAAATAACCGGTACCAGTTTGCGTCTTAATTCTTATCTTAATTCTTAAATTACTCTGATCAATTCAATTGTCTACTAAAGGTGTGTTTGTTCGAGAGTTTGGATTTTGGATTGGGATTTGAATAGTAAAAAATTTGAATTGAGATAGGTGTATGATGTGATATAAATATATATCGATGATTTGATACGATATTTTGAATGTAAAATTGATTTTTAGTATAATATAAAAAATGAAAAATAGGTGTTTGATTTGGAAAGTGTACTGTTGTCTATAAATAAATCATAGGGGTCTGCTTTTTAAGAATTATAGATGATGATGATGATGATGTTTAAAGCCCGCACTTCAGGTGTGTAGGTGGAATTTGTTGCAGTTTTACTCTTCCCCTGTGTTGTCACTGCTAAATTTTATACAATCTGTGTATTGTCTAGTCTAGTCATTCATGAAAGAAATTAAACTTTATATCTGTAGTCATTCGTGATCAAACTGGCCTATGTCCTGTGGACACATAACCTTATGGGTAAAACTTGTGCAGAGCACCTGTTGGAGTTGGAGCATCTTCTGCATGGAATTGCTATGATGAAAGAACTAACTCCTAGAACCAAGGACTACCTAGTCTCCTTTGGAGAGTGTATGTCCACTCGGATTTTTGCCGCGTACTTGAATAAAATTGGTGCCAAAGCTCGCCAAGTATGTCTTTTATCATCCACTCTACATGCTCCTATTTTTATACAGTATACACTGCATGCTATCTACTTTGCAGTTTCACCAAATAGACAGAACTCATTTTAGATGAAATAGAAGAGTGATCTCCTGTGCTCAATAACTTCTTATTAAAATGTGGCTCCCAGCAATTCTTGGATCTGAGGTCCTGTTGTATGTCTTTAGTTTGAGGTAGAAATCATGAGTGGTTCTTTCGCGTACAACTATATCTCATATAACTATTGTTCTTTAATCCTTAGTTTGATGGCCCTTAAACTTTTGAATGGTTCAGTTTATAATATTTGAAGGATCTTATACAAATGCTTTAGATGTAGTTCTAGGGCACATCTAAGTGCGATCATGGAATAATCCTCATGCATTTTAAGACACGGTTCTTCATTTCTTTTTAAGGTTCAATGGGCCCTTTGAATTGTGTTAGTTAGGTGCCGAACAGCTTCCTAGCTAGTCCATACCAATATTTAATAAGAAGATGTGTTTTGTATGGCATTGATCTTATTGTGCAATATATCTATCTTAATAACATAAAAGTAGAACCCATCATTTTGTTAGTGAACTCATGGGATCTTGTTTTCCTTCTGCCGAATTGGTTAATCACCAGCAATTATTACAAATCACTTTTGCATTTTGGCAGTATGATGCATTTGACATAGGTTTCATAACCACTGATGATTTTACAAATGCGGATATTTTGGAAGCAACTTATCCAACTGTTGCAAAGAGATTGGTCAATGATTGGATTACTAATCCTGCAATCCCTATTGTGACTGGATTCCTTGGGAAGGTTAGATCTTTATTTATTCCTTTCTGATTTCCTCGACTGGACTGGTTCACTGTTGTCCTTGTGTATGATTTCATAGACTATATAATAGATATAATTATACTGTGGGCTAAGCTGCTTACAACTGTAGGGTTGGAAAAGCTGTGCAGTCACTACACTGGGACGTGGTGGTAGCGATTTGACTGCCACAACAATTGGTAGAGCACTGGGGTTGAGAGAAATTCAGGTAACTAAAAATCACCCTTCCACTGTTAAATAGAGTCTCCATGAATCATTCTACTTCTTATTTGCATTTTTTAACTCCAATTCTCACATGATGTACTTTTGCTGGTGGTTGGCATAATTTAACGATATATTATCTTGTGTAGGTTTGGAAGGATGTGGATGGTGTCTTGACCTGTGATCCTCACATTTACCCTCAAGCAAAGCCAGTGCCTTATCTAACTTTTGATGAGGCAGCTGAACTGGCCTACTTTGGTGCTCAGGTATGGTTTCATGTTTCTAAGAATATTTCTACATAGCCCTGGACGAGTCATACATAACATAACATAAGAGAATGTAAAAGCATAGGTCTGCAGGCCCATAATCACCTATTCGTCATCAGATTGATTGTTTTTAATTGAGTAGGTGCTCCACCCCCAGTCCATGAGACCTGCTAGAGAGGGTGACATACCTGTTCGAGTGAAGAACTCCTATAATCCCAAAGCTCCAGGAACTCTTATTACCCAAACAAGAGACATGAGGGAGGTGAGCATCAACAAAAGATCAGGTCATTGGAAATTATCTGACTGACACTAGTAGATGTAGCAGTATTCTTAATACTAGATTCTCTATCCATCCAACCAGGCTGTTCTTACTAGCATTGTCCTCAAGCGAAATGTCACAATGTTGGATATCGTTAGCACCCGAATGCTTGGGCAATTTGGTTTTCTCGCAAAGGTGTGGCCATTCGAATCAAGCTCCTCCTCCCCCTCCTTGCTAGCTGTTGCCACTGCTAGATTTCGATGTATCTCCACTTGGATATGATGATGATGATGATTATTATTGTTGTTATTATTATCAGGTTTTCTCGATATTTGAAGATCTATGCATATCTGTGGATGTTGTGGCAACCAGCGAGGTCAGTATTTCGTTGACATTAGACCCTTCAAAGCTTGGAAGCAGAGAGCTGATCCAACAGGCAAGAGTAAGAGAGATAGATGTGGATATCCTGTTTGGATGGATGAATGGAAAGATGGTTGATTATGTTGTTGTTGTGAGTGCAGGAATTGGAGCATGTGAGGAAAGAACTTGAGAAAATAGCAGTGGTGAATCTTCTCCAAAATAGATCTATAATCTCTCTGATTGGGAATGTGGAGAGGTCGTCATTGATACTAGAAAAGGTTAGGTTGCGAGCTGAGCTGTATGGCATGCTAATATAAGATGATGTTTGAGCTGAGCTGTGGTATGCTGTATGGCATGCTAATATAAGATAATGTTTGTGCATGCAGGCTTTCCAGGTGCTGCGGAGAAAGGGGGTAAATGTGCAAATGATATCACAAGGAGCATCCAAAGTGAACATATCGTTGGTAGTAAATGACAACGAAGCGGAGGAGTGCGTGCGGACTCTTCATTCTGCCTTCTTTCACCACACAGATCGGATCGGATCCTTCTTGGAGATCTCACATCCCAATCCCAATCCCAATCCCAATCCCAATCCTACACAGGTAAGATAGACAGATAGATAGATAGATAGTATTATGATTATTATATTGTTATTTAATTTGTTGTTAGGAAACCTACCTTTGCCTAATCCCACCATCACTCTTGCTTAGTGAAACAGTTATGACTCTTTCTTTCTTGACTTGAGTGACAAACACTAGTAGTTGCCATTCATCCATCTCCTCCCTCCCTCCAACAACACTACACAACACTACTATCAATATTATCCACTTCCACCTCATTTCTACTACAAAACCAATTTCATCTTTAATTTAACTTTTAATCCTTGTTTTCTTCTTCTTTGTTACAATTCAATTAGCCAACCATGTCTTGGAATGATTATGCCATGCCAGCAGGCAGGCAGAGAAAAGAAAGGCCACTGCATTAACAATATCATAATATATAGTAACATACTACTGCTCATAATAGATAATAATTCACCACCACCACCACCACCAGAGGAAATTCTTCAATGCATCCACATGTTTTAAAACTCCAACAAGGATCATACCAAATCACAATCAAGCTCGCCTCCCCTGCATCGTTCATTCATTGTATTTATGATCAGGACCAGGGCCGCACAATCGAGTCCAGTCTGTACAGTAAACAAGTTTCCCCTCAACATTCATAATGTGTGATGTGTCTTCTGCTGCCAATGCCATCTACCTCGACCTCTTCTCTTCTTCACACCATCACAATCTGTTTTCCAAGTAACACCAACAACATCGTGTAAAATATGTCGATGGTATGGGACGTGACAACATGCATACAGTATTTACCAAATAGCAAGGCACGATTTTAACTCACTCAGGTTTCATATCATCACATTTGAGATTTTTCTGAATGCCTCACACAGACCAGATCATCCAATCTATTGCCGTCCATTTTGTATAATGCCACACCCTCCATCTGAACATAATGATCCTGTGCTTCTTTTCTTAATTTCTCAAAAGGCACAACTTCCCATTTGCTGTAGTTTGAATGCTTCCTAACATTGCTCATTCGGGGTGAACCTGATATTGGCCCACTTCCATATGGTCCTGATTGTCCCCATACCTTGCAGTTACGGAATTGTCCCAAATCACCCTCTTCCCCAGAAGCATTGTTTTTCAAGCGTACAGCAGCAGAGTGAGCTCTGCTTATTGTTTCTCGACTTGGAATATCTGACCAATCTTGCTTTCTTTCAGCTCTCATTGGAGAATGTATCCTAATAACCTGGTGAGGTGATTTCATTTTAAACAATAAGCCACAAACTCCCTAGTAACATTAGACAACTGACACCAAACCAAAGAACAACAAAAGTGCATACGTACACCAAGGCATTCTAAAAGCTGGTAGTATGCCCTTCCTTGAAGTGGATTGTGTCCTTTCCTAGGTGTTGAGAAGTAACGGGTCCTGAATCAACGGTAAGTCGTGAAATAACATAGAAGACCTCTAATTAAGACACTTAAATTTAGAAGTGTTTTGAACAAACCACTCAGTATATCCAGGATCAACAGTGAAACCATAGATGTCAATATTCTCACACATGGAAAGTGCCAGCTCTATTGATTTCATTCCAGTGCCTTTGGCCCCCCTACGAAGTACGATACCTTGAAAGAGATAAACTGGATTTGGAATCCTCTGCATTTGTTGGATGAGAACTCATTAAGAATTTAATTCCAGGAGAAATAACAAAATACATATTTAAAATTCCTCAATTTGACATTTAAAACTCAAGGCTAAAATTATTCAACAAACAAAACAAGAATACTATAGTTAATAATTGCCCCGCAATTTTACCTCTATCATTGCATTGAAATCCCTGTGGGTGAGACTTTTGATAATAAGCACTTCATCATCTGCAATAAAATAACTAAAATAAGAATAGGTAGGTTTTTCAACTAATGATGCCGAGAAAACTAGATTCTTTCAAAATGTCTGTTTATGATTCGGATGTGTATATGGTATTCTTTTATTTAGTTAAATATCTTATGCGTAAGCAAATACTTGTGTGTATTCCATCTGATTATTTCATTGCTACAAACATCTACATAATAGGATACACAAAACTTTTATTTTTTCAAGTGAACACATTAGATATATATATATATATATTTGACACTAAATTCAAAGGCAGATAAAGAATTTAATATCTTCACCTGTATAATATCTATGAAAGATGAGATATTAGACGAAATTGTTCTGTTTGATAGAACTGCATTTTGGGGGATATAATCTTACTAAAAAGTTAACCATAATTTTAGCTCTTCTGACTTCCTCCAAGAAGGATCTCTGTTGATTGAGAAAATCTAGATAAAATAGATATCAAAATTGACATGTATATACACAGATGCCTAAAAGTTTTCACTAGCATATAGAATAAGACTAACTGTTCAGAAACTGGTATGTCAAAACGCATTCTAGCCAAGTTGATAGAGCTGTGAATCTCCATACATCTAGCACTAATATCAGGTTTGATGGAGGATGCTCATGGAACAAAAAGGAAAAACCATATGTAAGTAGATATGAAATCGATCAGTAGTACAAATAATTCCTGTGATTTAACAAAAAAAAAAATTGTTGAGTTACCTGATCCATTGAGAATCTTGATCATGTTACGAGCAGCACCCCTAACCACAAGGCGAAAGTCTCTCTTCAAACCAACATACTTGGCATATTTCTATACAAGAAGAAAATAAATAATAATAATAATAACTAATAATAAATGAGAGCCCAAATTTCAGAATCTACATCAAGATGATGAGACTACAGATATAATTATAATTGGTATAAAAAACTTCAAATTGCACTTTAAAACAATTTTTCAAATAACAATATATATATATATCAACATTGAACTTCTCAAACCAAAGCTCCTCCATTAGGCATCAAGCCAGTGATACAAAGCAAATATAATAAGAAAATTCTAGGAAGATGAATGTCCAACAAGTTGCTTTTTACCTCATTAACAGGAGCCTCATTGTCTCTTATAACTGCATCATGCCCGTCGATTTCCTTTCCAAATTCTGTCTTCAGAAGATCCCCCGAATTTCCAACAACAGCACAAGTTTGAAACATGCGAGGATGAAAGGGTGGCTTTGCAGGTAGGAGCACATTAAGATGTTCCTCACAAAGAGTCCTGTTGTAGCATTTATCTGCTCCTCTACAACGATAAGAGAATAAGAGGAAATAGACTTAGATAAAATTTCAAACTGCAGTTAATTTTTTAAATTGAACACCCGAAGACAGCATACAGCATGCACCAAAAATAAGGCTGCAAACTCACAACTGTGCTATCCTCTTTGCTGCATAATCCAGCCACCCATCTGGCCGTGCATCTAAATACTCTCTAGTCAAGACTGTAGTCATATTGCGGTACTGCATTTCAGATAATTTCTCATTAATTAATGCACAAGCAAAAAAAAAAAAGAAAGACTACTTTAAGGCCTTCTTTACTATTAAGGATAAACTAATCTTCAAGTGCAAATTATAACATGAAAATTAATTTATCCTTGGGAATAAAGAAGGCATAAAAGTACAGCTATAGAACCTGTTCCCATAATAATATTGCTTCACAGACATCATACTTGTATTCCAGAGGCTCGAAGATTTTAAATTGTTCATTGTACTGCAAACAGATATCCAGAACATCAGTAAATAGCATTCAAGGCATCAAGGGCTTAAAAATGACTTCCTTGAAACTAATTTAGTGTACAGAAAGACCAACCCAGGTGCTGTTAGTCCCTTCTGGAAACTTGAGGACCAAGTTACAGTGATCTATAATGTCAGCAGAGAGCCCAAGGCCCCTGCTTGCCTACAAGCAACATCGCTGCCTCAGTTAGCACTGGCAATAACAACAGAAACAAAAGCAAAGAAAACCTCAATGCGGATTCATGGATCCAAATCTCGTAAAAATATCGGTAGTAGTAAACAAAGCGAAAACCAGAAGAGAAAAAAAAGGGAAAATACAATGCTTTTCGGGATCAACATTCCTAAGATATATCGAACAAATTTATAAACTGCCATAAAGGCTAGATAATAAAAAGCATGCCTAAACAGGAGGAGACGCGAAAATTAAGGAGGAGCGCGGGCAGCCAATGCGGATCTTAAGTAGACAACGGAGATGAATTTAGTAGAAGGCAATATGCGAACTGACCACGCATTTTTGAAGAGTTGACTGGAAATCATAAAGAGTTCGAAGATCCAGCCGGTTAAATTTTCCTGTGCGCTGGTAGCCTGATAAAGAGATCGGGAATCGCGTTAATAATATATAATACAAGAAACAATAGAATGATAGGACGGCGAGGACGAGGGCTAGGGCGTGAAATCGGAGAAGCAAGGATACAACCTACCGGTGCCGGCGGGGAAAGACGACTGGAAGGCGAAAAAGAAGAGGGATAAAATGGCGGCGGCGCAGAGGAGGTGGAGGAGGGCGGGTCTCCTCAAGGACGGGGGCGTCTTTCTGAGGGTTCTCATGACGAGGCTTGTGGGATCAGTTCCACCCGATAACTGCCGCGATCAAGCTAAATTAGCTTGCTTGCTTGCTTTCCACAGCGAAATATGTGTGTACGAATGAATGAAATCAAGAAAAATAATTATGGAGTGGCTGCTGCTGCTGCTAAGAGCAATTGCAACGGGGAAAGAAAATAGACCCGTTCGTGCAGCTCAAGTGTGTGGCCATTTCCAACATCATCAAATATATCTTCATATTTTATTCTATACTCTCTTTTCTAATCTCATATATATTTTTCCCTTGGACTCAACAAAAAGATGTCTATATATTTATATTTATAGCAAAATTATTTATTTTTAAGATTAAATTTTATGAATAAATATATTAATATATATAGAATAAAATTTTATAATATATAAATATAAAATATCTTATAATAAATATATAAAAATTAAAAATTAAAAAAAGAAATAGAAAAATGCACCGGGCATCTCTCCTAAAAGATTTTTTTAATTTTTGTTTACATGACGGTCATGTGGAAGAGGGAGGAGATTTCACCGTTGCCGATGCTGATACGCCATCAAGGTCGGAATATACTTGGGATGAAATTACTTTTAATAGTTTTATTGAGAAAAATAATTTTATATCATATATAAAAATAAATAAATAAAAAATTTTCAGACAATTCACCTCCCTTCTCTTTCCAAACCTCTGTTTCTCTGTCATAAATCCTAAGGACATGGATCAGGGGCTAAAATTCAATTTTCAGCACATGTTGATGTCTTCTCAAATTCTGAAATTTATGTCGTCACCTCTGTCTTCACTACCACCACTCCCTCCCCAGGCCCCCACCACCATCTTTAACTCCACTCCACCTCTACCCCACTGACCTTTATCTCCACACTTCAACTCATGTCGCTCCCACCATCACCAGACCTTGTTGTTTCGCCACCACATCCGCCACAACCACCCCTACCCAATTCACTTCGTTGTTACCATACAACTACCAGACCAATTGCATCACCACCGGATCTTGTTGTTCCATCACCACATCCACCCCCACCCAATTCACTTCTGCCACACAACTACCAGACCAATTGCACCACCATCATCGCCGCCACTAACACAATGAATCATCTCATCTTCATCCAATTATCATCGCCAAAATCAAAGGGTTGGAATTAATTTCAACATGGTGCTGAAAATTGAATTTATGCACCTGATTTATGTCCTAATCCTAATGCTTGTGTATTTTTTTCATTCTGCTCATTTTTTCTGGCAAGCGCATCTGCCTTCGCGCGGAGTTCAAATCAATTGAAAGATGATTGGATGACCTCGATGCAGCACTGCTGAGCCAGTATGTCCTAACGCAATCAATGATCGATAACCATGCCAAGAACCTGGCCAGCCACTTGGCTTCCGAGAGCTAAGTGCTAGCCTCACTAGAGTTGCGTGTTGGAAGGCTAGAAGACTAGGCTACAAACCTGGGTAGGGCGCTAGAGAGCCTAGAAAAAGGACAAAGCGACATATTAAAGGCTTTTGCAGCTGCCACCCAGTAGAATGTGATTCTAATGGAACAACAGCTTGACTCAGCCTGAAGCCAGCAGCGACTGGAGAAACTAGTGCGGCAACTTGTCAAGCATCTTCTTCAGATAGAAAGTGGATCCTCGGAGCCCAACGAGAAATGATTCAGGATCCTTGTCCTATCTTGAACATAATTTTGGAAAGGAATGGAAAGACATGTATAGACAATTTTGTTAATCAATGACACGATGAATTTTTGGTAACAAGTCGAATCTTTCAATATTGTGTGCCTATTTTAACTGCAAGTATGTGTTGTTGTTTGAAATTCTTTTAATAATCATTGCGTTAGACCTATTATATGTTTTAGAGTAGGGTTAGACAACTTGCGAGCGCCGAACTTAGTAATTTTTCCTTTACCTTATTCAATAATGTGAATATTGAGTTAAACCAAGTACCCGTTGATATGACTTGAAAAGGTTAGTGCCCCCTTCGTTTCAAATTCTCCATACTTAGTAGGGCAAGCAAACTTTTGTCTATCGACTTTGCTCAAATGAAACACTAAAAATGGAAGTTCTTAAATATAGTTTGAGAAGCAATGTAAGCGAAACGGAAAGGACCTATTATTATCAAGGAGACTGAAAAGGCCTAGGTGCGTTGAAAATCAAATAAGGTCACGAGCAGACACAATGTTTGTTTGAAACTCTGTGACCCATCGCGAAATATAATGAGCGATGAAAAAAAAAATGATTTTCCACACCCTTCAGCTTAAGGTTACTCTATTAAAAAAAAATAGTCCCCGCTGAGCGAACAAAGTTGATTATGCCTGGACGACTCCGCTCATGTTAAATCAGATTGACAAGTTTGGAATGCTTAAGGATCAATTGCTCATATTTGAGATTCACTCTGTTCACAACCATTGTACTGATCTTATGCAATACTAGACTGCCTTGAACGGGTTAACTCCTTATTCGCGCGATTGAGTTTGTTCAAGGATGAATAAAGGTTTAGTTTGAGGAGGTTTGATAACTCCAAATAATAGCATATTCTTCGCTTAACAAAACTTTTTAAAAATTAAATCATATCAGAGTATACACTTCGAAAACTACAGGTGTTCATACTTTTTGCCTTCCTGCTTTCCGGGAGCTCCAACCCTATAAGAGAGTTCTCCAGTAGGAATGGCCAGATGGGGAACTTTATTGGTTTGTAGTTTAAGTTTACAGCTTTGTTTACTACTTTCATACTATTTTCTTTATGTATATTTTTACTGTCTTCTGTAGTAAGTAATGAAATATCAAGATTTCTTCATATTCATTTTTTCCTCTATTCATATTTGTATTGGCATGATTAATTTGGAATTCTGTGTCGCTGAGAAAGAACAGAGAAAAATTGATTATCCGAGCCTAGTTTCACGTCATATTCATTAACAGATTCTGGGTAGTTCAATGTAGTTAAGTACGTGGGAGCCTTGTCGAGCTGCTTAGCTACTGCTCTGAATTCGATTCTTATTAAAGAGAGGTAACAAAAGTGTAAAGCTACTAATGGGACAGAAATTAGAATAATTAAAAGGGCATAGGCGCTTGTCTATCAGGTCATAGAAATGTCTAGTGACAGTAGCATTTCTTTCTTATAATGTTTTAATTATGGGAACCATTGAAGTCTTGTAGTAGATCCCTTAAGGTCAAGTATCAGTGATTCAAGTTCTGTGTAAATCTGTTTGACTGATTGCATTCACATCTTCTATCGTTTACGTGTATATATGTATAAATTTCGTTTATTCACTAATGTCATTCGCTCATTTCATCCATGAACTTCTAGTCATTAAGGAACGCACAGATCACACACAACACTATCTGGTCGCCCCCTACTACTCACTTAGTATACGTATACCACTCTCCTTTCACCCGCTCACTTCCGCTCATCTACCGCTCTCGCTGCCTCCATCGTTTACCGCCTCCACTTTCGCTCACCCAGCCACTCACTTTTACTCGTTTCTTTAATTTTGCCTTAGTGTGATTTTTTTCTTCGGCTCGCGCGCAAGCGAGCCTCTTTACATCTTTTCCGATGCATATCACTAGTTCAGTTTCTTGATTAAATTTCGCGACTTAAAATCCTTATATTTGACCTGAAAATTCACTGGTAAAAGAGCATAAATAATTGTAATAAGCGATTCAGGGTCTACAACTTCATTTTTTTCATCGATATCTAACCATACACAATATTGCACACTTTACTCTATTTGCATAATTAATTCCCCATATTTAAATAAAAAAAAGGCTGGTTATCAAAGGGCCACTGAAGCAAACCAATGTGCAATTAAGAATTGGAGCCCGACTCAGGATGTAGAGTTGACAACTACATGGTGTAACATGGCGACGGATGCTCGAGTTGGAGTTGGGCAAAAGAAGCAATGGTTATGGGAGCGTATCTGCGAATTGTACTCATGGAAGAAAATTATGAAGTTAGTAAATTAGAAAATAAGAGAACACGGGAGGACATGGGAATCTGTAGATGAAAATTAGATCACAATATACTAAATGGTTAGCCATCTGATTTCAGACGCAGTCACACTATGGGAGCGGTTGGAGCCCATCATATTTTTTAGGTTTCCTTTCAACTTTTCTTATTGCAACAATGCATATAACAACATGAGAAGTCCCAGGGATCGATTGCTCGATCAATTACTGTCAGTTTAGTGAAGATCAATTATGCAACCAATGAAAGATAGTCAAAATTTGAGAAGGGAGACCATAAAAGATATTTGAAAAGAGAAGAGGAGTATAAGGTCATATCTGAATTATACAAAATAGAGGTGATTTTAAAATATACTATTTTTAATATAATAATAACTTTATTGGTGTGACACTAACATTTGCTCTATTTGTGTCTCATAAGCTCTTCAGCATTCAATAAAGATTAACAATAAATACACAAATATTGTAAAGAGGTTTTTGACATTAGTGAGCGGTTAATGGAGGTTGAAGCAAAGTTAGAGGAACTGAATAAGTAAAATTTGGATACTTCTTTAAACAGAGACAATATGAAATGTGGAAAAAACAAATGAAACATTACACGCATGCACTCACGAGTATGTATGGATTAAATTTATTTCCAAAAAACTGTGAATTTCTTCATTGCTCAATTCTTGTCTTTCCCAGGGTTGAGAGCAACGCTTCAATTCATCGACGAAATAAATTCTACAAGAGCACACATGCCCAATACAAGTAGTAGATACAGTGCTAGTATGAAGCGATTTTTCAGCAACATGAGTGAATTGGAATGTTCTCTTAAAAATAGAACGCACATATTCTTCCTATATGCATGCCATTTTATATTTTTGCCTTGTATTTAACTCAGGAAATAAGGTATCAAGGTTTTATCTACTTTTTTACTAATGCAATGTTTCATTGCACAAAAGCCAATATGGTTGTACAAATATGGTGAATTTATCTTTGATCGTATGGGATTTGGCAAGAAAATTAATTATGAAATTGGGATCTCTATTTGGATATATATATATAGTGTATCAAGTATATATATTAGAGTAGAAATGATGAGTAATAAGCCACTGGATAGTTTTGTTTATGCATATGATTATATATAATATGCTAGATTTTTTTAATTTTTTTTTTGAAGACATATAATTATAAAGTTGGGATTTAATTAGTGTATATTGTTTATATAGTAAATATATAAATTTT